GAGGGGCAAGAAATAACCTCATTTTGCCCCCCAGCAGGGACTCTAAGGGTGTTCTTAGCCTCTCCACATGGTGCAAACAGCCCTCCTACCCCCAGGCACTGGCTCCCACCCTCAACCCTGCCAAACCCATGGCTTCTTAGGATCCCCCTCAATTTCCCACCACGACTGTGCTCTGAGAAGTGCCAGACTCCACAACCCTGATGCCCCCCGTCGCACCAGGCAGCGATTACAGCCACGTCCGGTCACTAGACGTTTGCAGAAACAGGTTCCACTGTTGGGGTCACAAGGGGTACGCCCAGGCACTGTGCCCCTTGCATCACATTGGCACTCTGCAGATAAGGAGACCCATCAGCACTTGGGGGGCTGTGCCAAGGCTCATGTTTCAGCTGGATCAAGAGTGAAAGGTCAGCACATGAATTAGAGTGGGAGGCACTTACGCTGGCAACCCCTTGGGTCACTGGCACTGAGCCCAAAGAAGCCATCACGACATTGCTGACAGCGAGAGCCCACCACATGCTCCTTGCAGCGACACTGGCCTGAGACCAATCCCAGGGTAGGATCATCATGGGGATCACAGCGGCCACCGTCTTGGGAGCCCACAGGGTCACAATCACAGGCTGAGGGCAGAAAGAGGGCCAGGGTCACCTTATCCCAGCAAGCCCAGCACCAGCATCTCCCAGATCTCCACCCCATATTCCACCCCAAATTCCCAGAACATCGACAGCAGTGAGACCCCCAGCTCCTACTCTCCCCCATGCCCAGTCCCAGCCTCACAGCGGCAAACAGTAGGGTCACGCAGGTCCTTGGCTGGGTCTCGGTAGAAGAAGGGCCGGCAGATCTCACAGTGGGGCCCTGCTGTGTTGTGCTGACACGCATCACACACGCCTCCACTCACGTTGCCAGATGCCAGGTACATGGCCATGTCAAAATGGCAGCTGTCAGCGTGACCATGGCACTCACACTCTTGGGGGACAAGAGAGAAGGGCGGATACAAGTCATTCGAGGTACCACATCCTAAGGTAAGGAGCAAAGGAATCCCCCACTGCCACCTCAGGCCCCTGACATCGGCCTGCAATTGTGGGTGGGGCTTTGGCTTCTTACAGGGTTCCTCCCCAGAAGAGATTGTAGAGGAGGGCTGAGGGCATTTAGGCCTGGACACCCTCTGGACATAGTTGGGCTGTTAGGGGCCTGCCCAGGCACCTGGAAGTTCTATCCAGAAGCCCTGGGGCTCTGAGGTCCAGGGTTTCATTCACTTTTTTTTCCTTTTTTGGGGGGGGTCACACCCAGCGATGCTCAGGGGTTACTCCTGGCTCTTTGCTTAGGAATTACTCCTGGCGGTGCTTGGGGGACCATATGGGATGCCGGGGATTGAAGCCGGGTCGTGCAAGGCAAACGCCCTACCCGCTGTACTATCGGTCCAGCCCCGGTTTCACTCACTCTTGCAGGCATGACTGTTGCCATCCTCGGCTGGACGCCAGGGCAGGTCGTGATAGAAATCCTGACACTGCTCGCAGTTAAGGCCCTCAGTGTTGTGTTTGCAGACACAGGCCCCATGAACCTAGAGGGGTGAGCAGAACTGTGCTCAGGGCCATCGAACAGTATCTGCCCCTGCCCCCTGCCTGTCTCCAGTCTGATGAAGCCCCTCACCATGCCCTCAGTATGAGATGGTGCCCCGGGGGCGGGTGCACACTGGGAGGCATGTCCGTAGCAGAAGCAGTTGCCTCGAACTACCAGCTCGTAGAGGGCGTAGTAGTACTTCTCTCGGATCTCCCTCCGAGGGTCAAGCAGGTTGTCCCCCAGCGTGTGCAGCCGTGTCAGGTTCACCCGTAGGTTGGTGATCTTCAGCAGGTCTGAGGGGGTGGAGGGCAGGGTTGGGGGTCAGCCCACCCAGGCAGGCCTTTGCTGTCCCCTATGCACCCAGGGGGTCCAGCTGCTAAGGTCACCTTGGGAGACCTCCTGCCTGTTGCTTTCTGAGCTAAAATGGACTTGGCACCTGCCCTAGGAAGCACCCAAAAATAGTACAGAGGCCCCAAATAGTCATCAGCCGGATGCTGAGACTGCGCCAGGCAGTCTCAGTGTGAACTCACTTTGGATCCGTGGACTGTAGGGGTCTGAGATAGGGATGGCAGGGTCCAGCACCCGGTAGATGACCTGGAGGGATTGCAGCCCAATGAGACACTAGAGACTGTCTTAGACTCTCAGACTTATCTCCCCCAACATACACAGACACACAGACATAGACACACACAGGCACAGATACACAGACACACACACACACACAGCTCTCTACTCCAACCCCCAGCCCCAGTGCCAGTTCTCACCTCGCCTTCAGTGGATGGTTCAATCTCTGAGTAGCGAGACTCACAGACTATGTCATCCCAGTGCCGTGGGGGGGCCAGTGGCACTCCCGGGAAGTCAGCCCCGCAGTCATAGGAGAAATATCGGTAGACATGCCAAGTGCGGCCAAAGTCGGCTGAGCGCTCCACCAGCAAGGCAGCAGGGCGAAAGGTCTGAGTGGGGGTGGAACTCATTAGTAGGCCCCAGAACCCAAGTCTAGCCCAAGGCCCACCAGATACCCTGCCCAGCTAGGCACACCGTCAAGCAGTTCACAGACAGGTGGGAGTGACCAGGGTTGCCAAGCCAAGATCAGGGAAGGCAGCCACCTCAGGCAGGGAACCTGGGGCTCTGGGCCACCAACTCCTGACTCAGCCCAGGAGTGGGCAGCACCTCCAAAGGCATGGAGGGAGACCTCATGCGGCGGGGACCATGAAGGGGCCTTCCACGCTGCTAGTATGTGAGCTTGGGGAGGTGGGCGAAGGAGTTGGGGCTCATTCAGGGACAACGGGGAGCCAGGCAGATGAGTCCAGCAAGCCCCCAGACATGCAGGCACCTTGAAGGTCATAATGAGGTGCGTGAAATGGAACTCGGCCTCCAAGTCCAGCTGGATGGTGACCGCAGGGACACCTGGGGCAGGAGTCAGAGGTAAGGGACTCAAGGCTACTTTGGCCAGGCCTGTTCATCCCAAGCACCCCGCGGCCTCACCATTTTCTGACTGCCACCAAGCTGTCCGCCGCTGTGGGGCAAAGCTGGTGATGACATTTTGGATGCGATGGCTGTCTGGGTTGTCTGATGCAGAGAAGGGGCGCCGGGAGTCACACAGGAAACATTTCTTCTCATCCTGGATTAAGGCAAGATCAGTGCTTCTGGCAGCTCCCCTCCCCTGCTGACCCCAGCCTCCCCTCTACACACACACACACACACACACACACACACACACACACACACACAAATGCACCTGCAGGTGGCTGACGATGCAGTAGGGCTCAGGGCCCTGCAAGCCACAGGTGGACGAGGCGGTCAGTCTGTCAGCTCGGCCCACTAGCAGGTCCCCAGTGGCTGGGTAGCAGCTTCCCCTCAAACAGCCTGGCATATCCGGGCTCAGGGACTCAGCCAGGGCGGTGGCCAACACTGAGAACAGTGGGTCAGCTGGTTCTGTTCTGCTCCCACCCAGGAACCCCAGGAGCAGCTCCCCAAGACCCACCATTCCACCCCGCGATCCCCAGGCATTCCCAGCCCCCCTCACCACTCAGCAGCAGGCCCAGTCGAAGTTCCCAGGGTGCAGCCAGTGCCTGCCGCTCCCTCCCTCTCTCCCCTGAGGCCCGCTCCATCCTGAGGGGGGAATCTGGCGGAGAAGGGATAAAGAGGGGATGGGAAGCTGAGGGCTGGTGCCGACTTGGACCTGTCACCTCCCTCAGGCCCCAGTGCTGACCCTTCCCCTTTGTGGGTCCTTGGAGGATCCCCCACCCAGCCCTCTCTCGCCTGTCCGATGTCCCCCACTAGCTTGGAGTCCAGCGACTTTGAGCAAAGTTGGAAGCACGGCAGCAAGGAAAGCCTGGGGCGGATTATGGACAGGAGTGTGTCACCCCGCCCCGCTGCCCGCCCCTTTCCAGAAACCAGACACAGGTTAGTTCACCTGAAATTTTTATTTTATTTTTATTTTATTCCTAACTTCCACCCCCAATGGCCATGTCTGGGTGGAAGTTAGGAAAAGGTGAGGGGTGGGATTTCAGGCTACCAAGTGGGGGGCATGGCATAAGCAAAGACGAATGTTCAGAGCTGGAAAGGCACGTGGACCTAATGTGGGTTCAGCGTCAGGGGTGCTGGGTTTCCAGCATCGAGGCTCAGCCAGGAGATTGGTGGGGGGGGGGACACAAAGATTCTCACTTCCCCATTCAGGGATGCCAACTGCTCTAGGACCTGAGGGACAAGCAAGAGGTAGGGAGAGAGATGGGAAAAGGCCATCCACAGCCTGAAGCCATAGGGCTCTCTGCCTCGCCTACAGAACGTCACTGGGAAAAATGCAGCTTGTTTCTCGGCATGAAAATGGACGCCACAGCCAGAAACCGGAGCAAATCCAAATCATAGCGTCCGCTCCAGACCTTCTGGCCAGCCGGAACGCTGGAGCCCGGGTTGGAATGCGCGCCGCCGACTAGGGCGCGCGCCCCACCCAGGCCCCTGAGACCCAGCTGGGGACAGAAGCTTAGGGTCCACAGGGCTGACCACTGTCGCATCCTCAGTTTCTGGGGCCAGGTGTACGGTCCCCAGAGCTGTGCACCTGAGGGAGAATGCTAGGTGGGGGGTTCCTTGGGAATCACCGGCTTCCCAAGTGAAGTTCAAGCTGTTGGGGGAGGGGGTGTCATTCTGCCAGACTTTCAGAGTCTCCAAGAATTACTCCATTTATGGGGGGGTTCTCAAGTAATTTTGGGGTAATAAGATCAACCTGGGGGGCTCAGGGATATAAGAGGTGACTCATATTTTCCATCAGGCAGAAAAGGAAGTTAGACTCAGGGTATTCAGCTGGTTTTTCTGCTTAGAACTGCTGGGAGACATCCCGGGGGAGAAGGAGTGACGCAAAGAGACTGGTCATGTCACTCAGTAGGATCTCTGGTCATGTAATGTCCGGACATTCTTCCTGGTTGGCGTCTGGTCAGCAGACACACTCAGCAGGTGGCCTGTGCACTGGCCCACAGCTGCATGTGCTTCAGCAGCTCTGCTGCCTGCTGCTCCAATGCCCACAGAGTGGCCACCTTCTCCTCCAGTGCCCGCTCATTTTGTGCCAGGCGCTGCTCCAACCCTGGGGACCAGGTCACCTACATCAGATTCTCATCAGGCTTCATTGCTAACTGTGCTCCTTATTTCTGTCATCGCCCTAACTCTAGCCCCAACACCCGGATCACAGCCACAACCCTAATGGAGTTCTAAGCTGAATCAACAGTGGATCCCCCAGTTCAGAACCTCCACCCCAGTCCTGAGAACCCTGGCTGAGTCTGAACTTGACCTGGACTCAGCTTTGACTTTCCCATGCCAGCCCTGCTCTCTGACCCTGGCGCTACCATGCACCCACCCCACCAGAGCACAGCCACGCACCCTCCAGGTGGCTCCAGCTGTTCTGCATCTGCTTCATCAGCTCTTGGGCCTCACCTTGTGCCCGCTGCACTCGCTCTCTTGCATTCTGCATCATGGCCATCAAATCCTGGGTGCCCTCCTGCAACTCCGTCACACCGGACCTGACCACCTGCAACTCCTAGGGCAGGAATGGCTCTTAGCCCCCTCCCCATTAGACCTCACTGTTCCAAATACACTGCCACTCAGCCCAGTTCATCACATCCCCAGCCTAAGTGTCACTTCACACTGTGCAGAGTTCCTGAGGCTCCAATGTCCACTATTCCCACCTCACCTTGCTCAGGATCCCAGCCAGGGAAGTGGCATGTACTGCTCGTTCTTCTGCCTCCTGAACCTGCCGATCACTCAGAGCCACACGGGTCCTGAGGGCCACAGTCGCACCAGACAGATGCTCCAGGGCCGGGGTCACATCCATGGCCAGTGTTACCTGGGGCAGGAGCCCTGCCACCTGGGCAGAGGTTACAGGGTCACAGGGAGGTCATAAGGTTGCCACTAAGTAGCGTGTTTACATGATCAGGGCATTTCCATTCCTGAGTACCAAGTATCAGAAATGGGTCGAGGATTTCAGGGGAGTATGGGGCTCACAGCAGCCACTGTACGAGGGCCATGAGGAAACCGAGAGGTCTGGGTGGGGTGTCACCTCCTGTACACTGGCCTCCAGGCTTCCAAGTGTCTCCTTAACTGCCCGTATCCCTTGCTCAGCAGTCCTGGCATGAGTTTCTGCCTTGACCAGCACCCCCTGCACATTCAGCGCCTGGTCCCGGGCCCTGACTGAATTCTCCCTGATGGGCACAAATGATCAGTTGGGCATCCCTTTCCTCCCCACCACTGACCTCTCCCTCCAATCCCCTGAACCTCACTTGGTCTGTTGTGCATGCTGGAGGACACCTTCAGCTCTGGGCATCTCCTGGTTCGCAGCATCTACTTTTGGGAGGGCACCCTGGATCTGCTCCAGCTGCAAGGCAATGTCCACTGCCCCACCTTTGGGGAGGGGCACTGCCAGCGCATGCCATGCCACGAACTCCACACTCACAACATCTGCACCTTTGTCTGGAGGGGGAGGGGGAACAGATCTTGGATTGAACCTAATATTTTATTGAACCAACCTTCACCCTAACTTCTCACTGCCGCTACCTCCACAACCACTACATGACAGGTTAAAGACTTACAAGAGCTGTTAGCCATTTGGGGAATGAGTTGTTAAATGGTCGGTAGACTAGGATCAGTTATGGTGGGATGCCTTATAGCAGGGAAACAGACCAATAGTACAAATCAGACCCCCAGTCAGTAGTTATATATTCTCCAGCACACATGTGTGTCTATCTACCTCTGATCAGTCCTTCTGAGCATTCCTCCTTCCAGAAGGAATATCATAGTGGTGGCCTACATGCTCACTTGCCCGTGCCCTTGGCTGTGAATGGAAACATCCAACAAACATACCCTGGAGGAAACGCCTGATGCTCTGCACAGTTGCCTGTACATGGGTCACAGCAGCCACAGTCCAGGGCCCCCTTGCACGATACCATGTGTCCTGGGCCTGCATTCCTGTGAGACTGGCTGTGACGTGGATCTGCTGCAACTGGTAGGTGTGGATGAGAGTGGGAATGTGTCTCCTGAAACACTATGGCTAAATCATGGTCCCCTATGAATCCCCTAGTAGATTCCCCACCGCACAGTGCCCGTTCATAGCCCCATGGCTCAGTACCAGTCGCTCATGCTGCTCCAAGGCTGTGACTGCTATGTCCAGACAGTGGGAAGAATTAAGGGAGGCTGCCAAAGCCCATGAGGCAGTCGGCAGAGTTCCAGGGCAAAAGGGAACTCTACAGGATACAGGAACACAGGCTAGCCCAGGTCCCTGACCTCTGCATTCCTGCAAACAAAACAGGGGGTCCAGGGCCAGAGAGAGAGATAGCATAGGGATTAAGACACTTACTTTACATGTGGCCAACTCTGGTTTGATTCCCAGAACGCTGGCAGGGGTCACTTCTGAGTGCAGAGCCAGGAATAGCCCCTGAACACCATAGGGTGTGGCCCCCAAACATAACAACTAGATTCAATGAGGAAGACATGACCCAAATGCCCAGGTTTCCCCTTGGAGAGTGCTTTTAGCACTGGCCCCCTACTGTGATGGCCTGATCCACTCACCACCCCAACTTTGACAGCAAGCTTCAAAAGCTGCGGTTCTAGGCTCTGGATGCTGTCCAGCAGCCCCTTCAGTTTCCGCTCCCACACAGCTATCCCTGTGGGCCAGCCTCTCTCCCACAGCAGTGACTCTGTCCTCTGCTGGGCCTCTTGGGTGTGTCCCAGGACACTGTTTGGTCCTCCAAGTGTGGTCACGACCTGGGCTCTGAGCAAGGCCTCCTGGGAAAGCAGGGCAGCTGAAAAGACCTGGGCCTCAGCACCTGGAGGAAAGGGGAGGAATGGATAGAGGGTTGGTGCAGGGCCCTGTTAGCCAGCAGGGGGTCAGTCAGCCTCCTGCACCACCAAGAGATGTGAATAAAGGCACTAATCCCCTTTTTTTCTCAGCCTAACCCTAGCCTTTACCTGGAGCTCCCTTCCTCAGCTGGTCTCACCTTGGGCTTGTGTAGTCTTCATGGTCCAGGCCAAGCCCTTGAAACAGTCTAGTTCCCAGAATAATTCTTCTAGGCGTTCCCATTGGCCCCTCACCCATGGCTCTTGTTTTGCCACAATCTGTCTTGTGGTCCCCAGTGCCTTACTCAGGGCAGTCATTTCCTTCCTGTAGGAAGATGGAGCACCAGTTTTATCATGGCCGGAAGGAGCCTCACCTCCACGACTTCTGATTCAAGAAAACCTCATGGAGTGACAGTACAGTGGGTATGGCACTTGCATGTGGTCACCTGGGTTCAGTCCCCATATCCCATAAGGTCCCCCAAGCACACCAAGAGTAATTCCCAAGTGCAGAGCCAGGAGTAACCCCTGAGCATCACTGGGTGTGGCCAAAAGAAAAAAAAAAGGGAATAAAAAGAAAAGCCCACAGCCTCCCAGAACCAGGACTCGAATGGGCCAACCTGTGGCCCTCTGAATCCCTGACCTGAGGAGCCACCTAGAGCCCCCCACCCCATTAGCCCCACACCCCTTGCCTGTATCCGGCTGTCCACTTGGTAAGTTGGAGCTGGGTCTCCACAGCAGATGGAAGAGACCCCAGGAGCATCTGGGCCTGCTGAAGCTCCCTCTTCAGGGCCTGCAGGCGTCCACCCTGAACCCCAACCCCCCAGCCAGGCTTCCCCTGGCACAGGTTAGCCACATCCTGGATCACACTTTCCAGATGCCTCTGGAACACTACCAGGGGCTGTTCCCATGAGGTAAAACAGCTGGGGCAGGGTGTGCAGTGAGGGAAAGCACCTTTGGTGCCCCAGGCACATGCCTGGCACCTCGTCCCTGAGATGCCCTCTCTGCAGAGGCAGGTGCCTGTGTGGGGGTTACAGCTGGGCATTATGGATCCCTGTGGGTCACAGGCACAGGCTGTAGAAAAGAGAGAAGGTCAGGGAAAAGATCAGGGGGCACCCCACTCCCCCTCACCCTCTGGGAACCCGGGGATGACCAAGGTACTATGTGAGTGAGAGGCAGCACCCTCTAAGGGTGTTCAGAACTGCTATGAGCACCTCTCCTGGCCACAGACCATCCTGCCTGGCAGCTTTTGGGCTGGAAAATAGTACTGAGCTTCAAGGGCTTCATGGCCCAATCAGCAAACCCCTCCATCCTGCCAGCGCTATGCCCAGAGCACTGGTCACATGTGCTATAGAAATCTAGGTTTCCAAGGCAACAGACAGGGCCATGCTGCGCTCCAGCTCTGGGAACCCCACAGTGCCTCTTACACTACTCAGCCCCTCAGGTCAGCAGTGCACCCAGAAGTGGTTCATCTGAGGGCCCCTCTCACCTCTGCACTCCTGCTCTGGGTCACCCCAGTACCCATCCTGGCACTGGGAGCACGTGCGGCCCCCAAATCCCGCCTGGCAGGGGCACTGCCCTGTGACCTGAGCAAAGGAAGCACAAGGCAGTGAGCAGGGACCAAGGGTCTCATTTGGGAGTGGAAGCCCACGAAAGGGAGCACCCCCACACCAGAACCCCCTGCTCGCGGCCTGCTCCTACCCCACATGGCACCCCCGCTCCTGTCTCCCCTACCCCCTCTGAACAGACCTCCTTTAGTCAGCTCCCACCTTCCCACCCTGCCTCCCATGCACGCTCTGAGCTCTCAGCTCCTGGTCTTTGCCCCTATGTATCCTGAAAGGCATGCTACTGTTTCCATGACTTCACACCCCCAGGCCTCCCGGCACTGGTAACTCGCACTCTTTCTTCTTCAAGGATACAGAACATACTTCTCCCTCAGTCCCTGGCCATGCGCCTCCTAGAAACACTCCTCAGGACCACCCATTTCTGCCTCTCACCTGTGTGCTTTTGCCCCCTCAGCCTCCTCTTCAGCCCATCAAGCTCTGCCTGTACCCACAGTGCTGGTCCATAGACTAATGCAAGGCTGACCAGTGAGTGGTCACATGCGGCCTCCTGGCTGCTGTCCCCCGGGCCTGCCATCAACTCACAGTCGCTGTCACACACGAGGATAGTTGCTATCACAGGGGTGTTTGCAGACACATGCACCAGTGCTGTTGGGCAGGTGACTGTGCTCATGGGCATGAGCCACTCTCTGTCCTGGGCATGCACATCCGCTCACTCCTAGATATGGCCCTGCTATGTGCCATCTGGGCTCACTTACTGGGTGGCATACTGGCTGTAGAGTGTGTCTGGGGTGACAGTTGCAGGGCTCACAGCCCCGGGGTCCTCCCAGGTTCCAGAAGAGGGGAGCACAGTGATTGCAGTTCCGCCCCACTGTGTGGGGGCGGCAGGGGCACCATCCACTGACTTGGTTGCAAAAGCAGATGTCAGCCCCTGATGGACACCTTGCTGGTACAGTGCCCCGTGGGTCACAGCTGCATCCTGAGAAACAGAAAGGCCCAGCAGGACTCGAAGGAGGCCCTAATCCCTCCTCTGCCCACCGTACTCCTTTGTCCCCCCCCACCAGATGGCTTCTACCCACCACATCCACACACTCACTCTGGCAGCCATGTGGGCGCAGGGCACTGCCATGGAAGCCAGGCCTGCAGTGGGCACAGTTAGGACCGTGGCTGTGGTGCAGGCAGTGTTGGCAGTGCCCACTAAGAGGGTCACAGGCAGCAGGATCTTCAGGGTCAATATTGTTGTTGCACTGGCAGGGCCGGCATGGGCTCCTTTGGGGGTCACCTCCTGGCCAAGGGCGCCCAAAGTAGCCAGAGGAGCAGCGGTCACAGCGAGGGCCTGGGGAGGGTTAGAGCACTAGCAGGGTGTCTTAGTGTTTTCCTGGAGAGCCTGTGGGTCCCCCAAACTCACCCAGAAAGTCTGGGGTCTAATTAAGAGATCAAGGGGCTGGAGCAACAGCACAGAGGGTAGGGTGTTTGCCTTGCACCCAGCATCCCATATAGTCCCCTGAGCAACGCCAAGAGTAAGTCCTGAGTGCATGAGTCAGGAGTAACCCCTGTGCATCGCTGGGTGTGACCCCAAAAGCAAAACAAAACAAAACAAACAAAAAAACTGAGATATCAGAGGACACGAGTGATATTGTGGCCCATCTTCTGGGCTCAAGCATTCCGTCCCATGCCCACAGTTCCTCTCACTCGACCCCTCCCAGCACAGGAAATTCTTGAGGTCAGGTCTACACACAGGAGGCAAGGGCCGAAGCTTGCCTTATAAACCTGATGAGACGGTGAACAAGTGGGTTTACCACTGCCGTCCGTGTCTCACCTGCATAGCCAGGTGCACAGAGGCACACGACATGTCCACTCATATTGTTCATGTGACAGGAGCTCCCATGATAAAGGCCAGAGCCGGGGGGTCCAGGGCAGAGGCAGGGCCGGCACCGCTGGCCTGACCCCAGGGTAGGGTCTCCATAGTAGCCGTCCAGGCACCTAGGGGCAGTAGCTTATGAGTTTGGGCAGGCTCACTCGAGATTCCTGCCCAACCCCTGCTCACCTTTCACAGTGCCGGCCCACAGTGGCACCATGGCAGAACTGGCAGACCCCTGTCAGTGGGTGGCATGCTTCAGCATGCCCATTGCACGCACATGGCTGGCACTGCGGGAAACCCCACCGACCTGGGAGACAGTGGTCACAGCGGCGACCAGCCAGGCCTGCCCGACATGTGCACTGGCCATTCCTAGGGTTACAGATGGCACTGGTGGCTCCCTTGAGATGGCAGTGACACTCTGTGGGAGACAACAGTGTAAGCAAATTACACAAGGGAAGAAAATAGCTGGTCTTTAACTGCTCACCTGGCCCCCTCTGCCCAAAGACTCACCACTGCAGCCGATGGGCCCAAAGCCATAGGTCCCCGGCATGCAGTGGTCACAGGTGCGACCGATGATGTTAGGACGGCAGGGGCACTGGCCACCCAGCGTGACACACTCAGTGCTCAGTGATCCCTGGGGGTGGCACTCACAGGCTGTCAGGGGGAAGGGCAAGGTCTGATGAACGTTAAGCGGCTTCCTGTACCCTCTCCTCCCTTTGTACCCCTCTGGTCAATGCCACAGACTCACCCAGGGCACCCCCGTGGAGCAGGACCGAGATGCTGCAGATAAGGCGGGAACAGGCCTCAGGCATGGGGCTGGAGGGGCCCATTCTTGTGGCCTCCATACAACCTGCCTTGTGGAGTTCCTGCAAGCGCCCCAGGGCCCCACGATCCACGGTTCTCAGCCCAGGCAACTCACTCACCCGTGGCACGAGCACAATCTAGTTGGAGGGTTGAGGGGGGCAGCAAGGGGAGTGAGTCCAGCTCCATTCACCAATACCAGCCCCATCCCTTGGCATTGCCTGCACAGTCAATCTCCCTGTTTCTCTTCTCAGTCTTTCTCCTCCCGCTCTCCTTTCTTTCACATGGTTTTAGTCTAGTCCAGGCAACGCCATTTCTCACACAGTCCTCAGAGTCACCTCCCATAATAATGACTGTTCCTTGTTTAAATCCCTTCCTTGACTCCCCATGGCCCAGGATAAAGGTTAAGTCTCTTTCTTGGCAGCCCAGATGCTCTGGTCTAGCACCTACCTATTCTCACCTTCTCTTTTTGGGGGGAGGGTCTTCTCTAGCAGTGATATCAACAAGATACCCAGGGCCCAACAGCAATATACCCAGTACTACTCAAGGAATCCTGTTGTGCTAGGGGATAAAGTCGAGGGTCTGCATGGGCAACAAATGTGCTCCAGTCCTTCAAGGGCTCTCCCTGGGCTGCTTCTCACCTTCCATCCTTGGTTTTTTATTGTTATCTGGGGCCATACCTGGCAATGTTCAGGCTTACTCCTGGCTCTGCACTCAGAGATTGCTCTTGGCAGGCTCAGGAGGACCATAATGGGTTCCAGAGATCAAGCCAGGTTGGGGACATGCAAGGCAAAAGCCCTACCCACTGCACTTGTGAGAGACCCTCTCACCTTTAATCCTTTGCTTGTGTGCTTTTCCTTAACTGAATCCCCCTGCCACACTCACACAATCATCCGCCCACTCAACACACTTATACCTACATATACTTACATACTTACATAGTCACAGACTCACACCCACCCACATGCACCCATAGTCCCCATCATGGTTGTGAGACATGTGTATGAGACTCACACATGTCTCTCACACATGCCCTCTCCTCACCCCACCATCGGTTTCAACTCCAGTTCTCTTGCCACAGCTCCAGATCTCTGGAAACCCCACTCCCTAACCAGCCTGCACCCATATTGTCCTGCTATCCTGTCTCCCTTGGATGCAGGGTGACCCCCCATGATCTCACTGAATCCAGCAGGATGGTGCTCCCCGCAGGCCTTCGCACCCCTCTGGTGCACCATAGACGCAGAGTTATGGAGTAGCATATTCCTGGTTCAAAGCAGAAAGGTCCGGATAGAACCACAGCCCTGCAGAGTGGGTTGCAGGTGGGGAAAGGTCACAATCACGGGGTCCAAAAGGTGCTCCACTTTGGTTGTTCAATTATTGGATTCAGTATTTCATCATATGACCAAAGGAAAAGACCAGTTTTTGTTGCTGTTTTGGAGCCGCACCCAGTGATGCTTGGGTTATTCCTGGCTTTGCGTTCTCAGGAATCCTGGTAGGGTTGGGGAACTATACAGGATGCTGGGGATAAACCTGGATCGACTGCGTGCAAGACAAGCACCTACCTACTGTACTATCTCTCTGGCCCTGCCCTCCAAAAAATAATTTCTTAAATCCTTTTGTTTGAAAATAATCCTTTTGTTTGTACCTCTTTCGATATACTTGAAATGATATTCCATATCAGGGAATTTCCCACCAAGGATATTGTTTCATACATATGGAGAGGATCACAGGGCGTCATCAGTCACAGGTATGCCTACCTGTGTGCTGGTGTCAAGGCTGCCTGCAACAGCTGCTCTGAAGGCAGGTGGGTACAGCGGGTGCTGCTTGGTAGGGAATGGGCTTGGACCCTGACCAACACCTGCCAGTCTTCAGGTGCCTACAGTCAGGGGTCAGTAGTCAGAGAGCTGTCTCTATCCACCACACAGGCCCACCATCTACTTACCTGGCACACATGTCACTGACCTGAGTTGCATAGCGCAGGACAATATCATACTCTAGGGCACGAGGCACCGTGGGTGCCAGCAGAGAGAGGCCAGACCCATCGACCACATGTGCAAAACCTAAGCCCGTCCATGACGCAGGTCCGGTTCCCCGATGCAGGTGCAGGGGTACCTGGATGTGAGATAGACTCCCAAGCCCAGGCCACCCCAGGACCTAGGACCCTCAGGATTTCAGTTCCCTAAAACTTAAAATCCCAGAGACCCATTCTCCAGGGCTTAAGCTCCAGCCCTCCTGACAGCAGTTAATGTCTTGTCAGCTGATACGGGTCCATGAGGCTCCTCACCTGGGGAAACTGATGGCTAGAATTCATTCCCCTGGAAGTCGGGTGGCCACACTGAGGATCATGCTGTCTCCAAAGTCGGGGTCGGAGCCGACCAGGGTGGGTGGCTGGAGCTTGGCTACAATTGGGAGAAATAGGCCAGGGTGCTCCCTGGGGGCAAGTGTGGTGTCAGAGTTCTCAAACATCCTGACCCTATCCCCTCCCACACTGTCCTGGGAATACAGGTTCTGTCCACACAGATGTCTGACCATGCTGAGTCCCTTTCCCTACAAGCTTCCCTCTCCCATTATTCCAAACCTCATAAATCCTGACCAGCTTCTTTTGCTCTATGGATACCCCATTCTTCTTTTAAATTTTTGGGTTTTGGGCCATAACCTGGAGATGTTCAGGGATAACTCCTGGCTCTTTGCTTAGGAATAATTTCTGGCAGGGATTGGGGGACCATCTGGCGTCTCAGGGATCGAATCTGGGTTGGCCATGTGCAAGGCAAGTGCTTTATCTGCTGTACTATTGCTCCCACCCTCTACGGACACTCTCTTCTCTGGTCTTGATATCCTTCCACTGCTGGTTCAGCTTGACACTCACTGGCAACCGAGGGTCCATGGGCTGAAGGTTCTGTCCAAGCTCAGCTTCAGCTGTAGCCTGGTCCAGGGCAGCACAGAAGTACCCGGACTGCAGCTCTTGGCAGCGGCGGCCACGCAGGTGCGGGCGGCATGAGCACAGACCCTCCCTGGCAGAACACCTGAGCCAGCCAGGCAGGGTGGGGCAGTCAGTTCCTCATTCTTGCCTCCTGCCCCTGACCCCCAGATCCTGCCCTGTACCTGTTGCTGTAAGCGCCTCCAAAGTCACAGTCACAGGGCCGACAGCCTAGAGAGTCACTGCTCAGACCCCAGAACTCGGGCTGCAAGATGGTAGGACAGGATTATGTGGCAGGGGAGAGGAAGGGCCAGGGCTTCATGCAAGGGGACTGCCTGTTGCAGGAGTAAAGAGAGGGTAAGGGTGACTTCAGGACACAAATGCTCCTTTGTGACAGAGGCGAGGGGGGACTGGACGAGACCCTATTACTCCTGTGTGGTTTCATGGAGGGGAACTGAGAGGAGTTTTATTAATAGTATAGAGCTTTTGGCTTGTGTGTGTGTGTGTGTGTGTGTGTGTGTGTGTGTTTGGTTTTGCTCCACACCTGGTGATGCTCAGGGGTAACTCATGGCCCTATACACAGGAATTACTCCTGGTGTCCTGATGTGATCAGGGGACCATATGCAATGCCTGGAATTGAATACAGGTCTGCTATGTGGAAGGCAAGGGCCTTTACCTGCTGTAGTATCTCTCCAGCCCCAATAGAATTGATTCTTGAACCGAGTATTCTTTAAAACACCTTTGTTGTGAAACTCTTCATTACTTCTGGTTTTGGGGTAACACCTGGTGGTGCTTAGGAGTTGTTCCTGGTAGTGCTAGGGGTAGGATTAGGGGTCAGTGCAGTGCTAGGGATCAAACCCAGGCCTTCTGCATGCAAAATGTGTGCTGCAGCCCTTCGAGCTATCTCTGACCTGATAAAAAAAACAACTTTAAACTGAGTGCATAATACTGAGGTAAGTTGTTTAATTTTCTTTCCCTTGTCCCCCAAGTTTCCCCATGAGAGCAGACTGGCTCAGTTAGCCAAGGTGGCTTTGACCCTACTGACCAGGTCAGGCAGTGGGACTAACCCATGTGCCAGGCTTGGCCATGGTCAAAGGATGACTGTCTTAGGAGTTTATCAACTCAGTGTCTAAGGTAAAAGTCCAAACAGAAGGTGGGTCAAGGCTCACCAGACAACGGCTACAGTCCCGGCCAAAGACAAAACGTTTGCAGTGACAGGCACCACTGGAGGGATCACAGGTGTGAGGTCCAGGGATCTGTCCTCGGGAGTCGCACCTGCAGGCTAAGGCACAGAGCTTTCAGGGTGCTAATTGGACCACTGAAGGGTAGGTGAGCCCACATGTCATCAGGACAGTGACAGAAGAAGGAGGACATGGGGGTAGGGGACCACTCCTAGAGTCACTAACGCTGGCAGCCCTCTGCCTTGTTTGGGCTCAGGCCGTAGTGACCAGGCTGGCAGGAGTCACAGCGTTGACCCCAGACATGGACTCTGCAGCAACACTGCCCAGAGAGGAGGCCAAGGGTCTCATCTGTGTGGGGGTCACACAAACCCCCTTCCAAGGCACCCACAGGGTCACAGTCACAGGCTGGATCAAACATCAGAAGTAAGGAATTAGGTCAGAGGTCACCCTGGAGTTGAAAGGTCAGGAAGCATGAGGACTGGAGGTGGGAGGGCTTACGTCGGCAGGCATGTGGGGAATGGAGATCTTCCTGGAGATCTCGGTAGAAGAAGGGCCGGCAGAGCTCACAGTGGCGCCCGGCTGTATTGTGCTGACATGCATCACACACGCCTCCACTCACATTGCCAGATGCCAGATACAGGGCCATGTCAAAGTGGCAGCTGTGGGCATGCCCATGACACTCACATTCTGGGCAAAACAAGGAAGATGACTATGGAGTGGGCTAACGCTGGGCCAATGCAGCTAGGCAGAGTAGGCCACAATACCTACTGCGGCAGGTGTGGGGATGCCCAGGCTCTGCTGCTCGCCATGGGTGGTCTTGGTACAGGTCCTGGCAGCGCTCACAGTGAGCACCAGCAGTATGGTGGAGGCAGACACAAAGGCCATGCACCTGGCAGGGAGGAAGGCAACATCCTGACCTGCCATCCTTCAGCCTGCCCATTCCACCAGCCACAAAGGTTCCCTTCTGTTCTCACCATGCCTTCCACGTTGGCTGGGGCCCCAGGGGCAGGCATGCACTCAGTGGCATGGCCATAGCATAGGCAGCTGCCTAGGGCCACAAGCTCATAGAGGGCATAGTAGTAATAGGGGTGTCCTCTGAGACTCCCATGAGACCTGTCACCCAGGATGTGCAGCTTGGAGAAGTTGACACGAAGGTTAGTCACACGCAAGAGCTCTGGAGACACAGATAGTAAGATCTCGGATATGCGAACCACCATCTCTCCGACTGGGAAGGGTGGGTCTTTCTCACCACTGCAGACACGTCCCCCAGCACCCATGCTATGGGAGATCCCACCCTTTCCCTCTGAGTCTATAATTTTAAGATGACCATAGCCTCTGCACTGCTCCAGCCCTCCTATTTTTTCTGAGCTGAGACCAGCACATCCCGTTCCCTGGATATGTTATTCTGGATTTAAAGTTTAAATGCCTTGGGGCTGTAGCAATAGCACAGCAGGTAGGGCATTTGCCTTGCATGCGGCCAACACAGGTTCAATTCCCAGCATCCCATATGGTTCCCGAGCACTGCTAGGAGTAATTCCTGAGTGCATGAGCCAGAGTAACCCCTGTGCATCACTGGGTGTGACCCAAAATGCAAAAACAAAACAAATAAAGTTTAAATGCCTCTAGTAATTTAAAATTTGCTTCCTCTTGGGGCTGGAGAGACAGTACAGTGGGTAAGGTGCTTCTTTTGCACACAGCTGACCAGGGTTCAATCCCCAGCACTCTATTTGGTCCTCTAAGTCAGCCAAGAACGGTCCTTGAGGGGCTGGAGCAATAGCACAGCAGGTAGGACGTTTGCCTTGCACGCAGCCTACCTAGGTTCGATTCCCAGCATCCCATATGGTCCCCCGAGCACCGCCAGGAGTAATTCCTGAGTGCATGAGCCAGGAGTAACTCCTGTGCATCGCCGGGTGTGACCCAAAAAGCAAAAAAAAAAAAAAAAAAAAAAAAAGAATGGTCCTTGAGTGTAGAGCCAGAAGTAAGCCATGAGCATAGCCTTGTGGCACCAGAACAAAACATAAAAAAAAACCCTGCTTCCTCAATGCAGTAAAGAATTTCATTTTCCAGCACATCTTTCAAATTAGAAATAGACTCATCACCCAGACAAATGAATAAAATGCTTATCTCCCTCTCAGGTTAGCTCCAAGCGATGCCTTGTCCCCACTGAGCAAGGCTCAACTGCCCAAAACAGGCTCAACAGGCATTCAAAAAGATCTTCACATGGATGGAGGAGGTAAGACCACAACTCCTTTCTCGCTCTCCACAGCTCATATCTTCTTCTTTTTTTTTTCTCTTTGCACTTTTTGGTTACACCTGGCAATGCTCAAGTTACTTCTGGCTCATGCACTCAGGAATACTCCTGGCGATGCTCGGGGGGCCATATGGGATGCTGGGAATTAAACCCGAGTCAGCTGCGTGCAAGGCAAACACCCTACCCGCTGTGCTATTGCTCCAGCCCCAGCTCATATCTTCTAGGTTTCCTTTGCTCTTTCTCTTGATCTAAAGGGACAACTTGGCATACGGGCTCAGGGTGAGAATTTGATAGTACCTTCAATAAAGTGAGTGAAAACGAGGGGAAACGCTACTTTGAGTTCTGTCCTCCTATTCTTGCTCTCATATGCCCAGGTTCTAGCCTGCTGGACTAAGTGGTTCTTTAACAAGACTTGTCTTACAAGAGGTAATACCCCAAGATACCCTGGCGCCACCTAGGGGCAGTTTCTGGGATGAAGGGTAGTAACCAAGGCCAGAGTTATGAAGACCATGACAGGAGCCATTACAGGGGAACAGTAATGGAAACTAGCAGGAACAATAGTGATGGGGACCCAGAAAGAGCTTGAGCGAGAGGGCAGAGATGAGGGTATGGGAACTGCTACCATGACAGTGCCTACATATGAATACAGACCTGAGGAAAATGATGGAACAGAAGTTGGTATGCAGGTGGGGGAAGAGAGGAGGGTTGTTAACATAGTAAGGACAATAGAGACCCTAGAGCTGGGCAACAGTGCCATGGGACTGGGCTGTGATGCCTTCCATCCTGTTATACTGGGGTTCCCATCTGTTTCCACCCCCCACCCCAAGTTGTCCGGGAACACATGGGACACAGGAGTGGCTCTAGGAATGGTTACCCTGGATCTTGGGGTTGTTTGGGTCCAGAACTTTGGTTTGGGTCTCCTCCAGAACATCTGGATCCAGAACTTTGAAAATCACCTACAAGGAAGATGCAATCCTGAACCACTGGCATCATCTCGGGGTGCCCCGACCCCCTTCCTCCAGTCTGACCTTGCCCTCAGTAGCAGGCTCCATGTCTGAGTAACGCTGGTCACAGATGAGGTCACTGCCTCTTTGGCCAGGGGCAGAAGGGATCCCAGGAAAGAGGCCTGAGCAGTTGTGAGCAAAGTACCGGTACACATGCCAGGAGCGGCCATGGTCCACTGAGCGCTCAAGGAGCAATGCTGCTGGGCGGAAAGTCTGGGGACAGGAGGGGAGATCTGGGGGTCACCAGGTGTGAGCACGGCTGGTGGTGGGGAGTTAGAACAAACCCTGATGTAGGGGTACTGGGTCACCTTAAAAGTCATGATCAGCTGAGTAAAGTGGAAGACACCCTCGAGGTCCAGCTGGATGGTGACATTCTCAACACCTGAAACCACAAAGGGCTAATAAGGGGCCAGGCCCTGCTCCCTGGCCTGTGCAGACTGACATGCTGGCACTCTCACCACTCTCCGCTTGCCACCAGGTCCTGTTGCTATTCTGGCCACTCTGGGAAATCACATTCTCAATGCTATGGCCTCCCTGGTCCTGAGAGTCACAGAAGAAGCAATTCTTCGAGTCCTGGGGGCATCCCAAGGAAGGCAGAAGGTACACGGTAGGTCCCCCACTGCAAAATCTCACACCTCAGGCCTGTCCCAGCCTCCAGCAATAGCCTCAAATCCTATAAGGCTGCACCTGGCCAGGAAAACCCAGTGACCATTTTAGAACCCTCACCCTCTTCCCCACCTGCAGGAGACTGACAATACAGTAGCGTTCAGGGCCATGGAGACCGCAGGTGGATGAGGTTCGAAGACTCTGACCACGGCCAATAATCAGGTTGCCAGTGGGTGGATAGCAGCTGCCGCTGGAGCAACCAGGTGGGGGAATTATGTCCGGTACTTCCTGGGCAATTGTCCTGGGAGCCTGACCTGAGAGAGAAGAATCTGAGCCGAGATCCTAGAGGAAAGTCCCCACCACCTCAACCCACTCCACCAAGAGGTTTAGGATTCATCTCCTTCTGGCTAGCTCTTGGTGAAAAAGCCAATCCTCACCCATCCATCGCAGGAACAGCAGAACTGAAAGGAGGGGGCCAAGCCCAGTTGGGTGTCCCAAATGGAGGAAACAGGTCTCTGACCTGGGAAAGAAGATGCAGAGTGGGCTTTCCTTCCTGGTGGGCTGCCCTGCTAGAGCTGCCTGTGACCCTCAGGAAATCCCACATACTCACATGGTAGATGAAAGGCCAGGAGTTTGCAGAATTGGAGGCCCAGTGCTTCTGGGAGCCAGACAGACCCAGAGCTGGGGGGAACTTTCGCAGGCTACACCCAGGAGCTTCAGTAGCAGCCACCAGAAGCAAAGAGGTACCAGAAAGCAAGCAGAGCTTCTTTACAGGACTCCCAGCTATCCAAAGCAGCTGGAGCTAGTGGGGCCAGGGATGAGACTAAGCCAGACAGAAAGATCTGAATCTCATTCAAATGAAGCTCCTACTCCTAGTCCTGAAAGGCAGTTATCTCCCAAGAGCCCCTGGGGAATGCATCCCCCTCCCTGCCAGTCCAGTTACTGGCATTCAAATTGGGCAGTCAGCTAAGGACTGGCATGTGGGCGGGGAACTAGTTTTGTTTAGGTGTTAGGGCCACCCCCTCTCCAGGGTGGGGAGAGCTATGTGCTAGCACAGGCCCATTGGAAGGGAAGAAGAGGCTGCATACGGGCTAGACCAAGCCCTTAGAAAGCAGCAGGACTGAAAGATTTTCTCCTGGCTCAATTGCCTCATCATCCAAGGAGAAAAATCCTTTGGGGGCAGACTACAGTTAAACACACCCAGGATCCCCAGTTTTGCTTTTTGTTTTTGGTTTTGAACTGCACCTGGTGATGCTCAGGAATTATTCCTGGCAGGACTGGGGACCATATTTGTTGCCAGATATCAAACCCAGGTCAGCCGTGTGCAAGGCAAGCACCTATCTCTCCAGCCCCTGCTGCTCTTTTTAAATTAAGAGGTTTGGGGGAGCGCACGTGTGTGTGTGTGTGTGTGTGTGTGTGTGTGTGTCTGTGTCTGTATTTTGGTGATAGCATATTCTATCTCCCTAGTCCCCCAAACTCTGGACTCTGATCTCAACCTCTTGCCACCAACTGGGTAGGGCAATGCTAGTCACTCTACTGGAAGGAGCAGAGTGGAGGAGCGGTAGAGATACTTTATTCAGTTTAGGCCCAGCCCAGTCCCAGACAAGCCTAGGCACAGCCCTATGGTTTCAGCCCCAGCAGGCTGGGAGACAAGGCCAGGCTGTCTGCTCTGGCCCTAGGGGATAGCACCACAAACTCCCTCTTCTCTGACCTAAAAACCTGCTGGCAGTAAGATTCTCCACAGACCATCCATTGTCCTTCTATAGGCTGCCAACCAGGATAATAGCAGCTCCAAGGGGATAGGAGGGGCCCACATCACTGACTGTTGCCCGTCTTCTCAAAACCAGATACACACCTCCAGAGACCAGGAGCAGCCCCTTTGCATAGCATCCCATCACACACATAGATGACCTGCCCAGGCCAACATCACCGTTGGGCTTATTATCATTTTTTTTGTGTGTGTGTGTGCTTTTTGGGTCATACCCGGTGATGCACAGGGGTTTTACTCCTGGCTTTGCACTCAGGAATTAGTCCTGGAGGTGCTCAGGGAGAGCATATGAGATGCTGGAAATCGAACCCGGGTCAGCTGTGTGCAAGGCAAACGCCCTACCTGCTGTACTATCGCTCCAGCTCCATGGGGCAGACTTTTACTGTGGTCAAGCTGGCCTACCAGTAGCCAGGCACGCACGCACATAACCCCCTCCCCCAAGAGAGTGGGCAGGAAGACTGACAGGTGCAAAGTTATAAAACGTGATAGATGGAACAGTGGACATACAACTTGAAGAGTACAAGTCACAGTGCATCGCGCCATGAGAACAACGCCCCTCCCGCCCTCCCACCCAACCCCATATTCTCCAGTCTCGGAAAGAAGGCTGATGGCCGCCAGAGTCCTGAAGAGGCACCCGGAGTCCTTGGGGTTGTGGAATCCATGGGCAGTGCATATAGAGCCACTCGCCGAACAGCTGAGCTCAGTTTCCCCAAACATTACTCTGTGAAGGAGTCAGGGTAGATGTTGAGTCTGGCAGCAACGGCTGGAGCTGTATTACAGGGGACAGGTTCACGCAAAGGATCCGCTGAGCTTGCTGCCGCACCTCATCATCCGAGGACTGCCTGTCCACCTTGATAGCCCAGAACTTCAGCAGTTTTGCTGTTCCATGCCCTCGCCTGGCCTTAGGGGACTGAGGCCCTCGCCGTATTCTCTTCCCGGGTGGAAGATCCTTTGCTTCCTCATCTCTTTTCCTTTTTTGTCCCACAGTCTCGGGGTGGACTTTCTGACCCCTCTTGGCAGTCCTGGCCTGAACAGACCCCTGTGGCCTGCCACTGCCCCTAGCCCTGGGTGGGGTCTGAGACATCTTGGCCTTGGCCTGTGCTGCCTTGGCTTCGGCCCTGGCCCGTATTGCTTTAGCCTTAGCCTGCACTGCATTGGCCCTGGCCCCGATCCTGGCTGCCTTGACGTTGGCCCTGATCCTGTCTCTCTTGGCCTTGACAGCTTTAGCCTGTATTTGAGCTACCTTGGCCTGGGCATGGGCTGCTCTGGCCAGTGACAGAGCTTCCTTGGACCAGGCTATTTTGGTGCTCAGGGCAGAACCACTTTTCATGTGCTGGCCACCAAGGAACCTAGTGGCTTTGTGGGTTTTGTTTTGAGGTCCAGGGCCTTGTCGGCATCCAGCCCTGGGACCTCTGCCTGTCAGACACTTGGGACCCCTGCCTGTGGCTTTTCTAGGAGCTTTGGATTGGGGGTTCCCTGACCTTTTCCCTGCACCTTTTTGCAGCTTCAGAGGAGAATCTGAAAATGAGAGTTGCAATGACTGTGTCTTGTGCTTGGCACCCAAGCAGGGCATGGGGGTCTTGAGTGGAACCAGGGCCTCAAGGACAACAGAGAGTCGCATGGCAGGGTAGACACCTGGATAGAGGCGGGCTGGGAAGCCCACTGCAGCACCCTGGGCACGACTGGCACTTGACTGCTTCAGGGAGCTCAGTAACAGGTTGGTGGTGGCATGCTTTGTGAGGGCTGGAGTGGATGCTTTGGCCAGCCTGCCAGACAGAGGCATGGGAAGCAGCGTGGCCTGTCCTGCAGGCAGACGCATTTTAGTTCGAGGAGCACTAACTGGAGGTGAAGTGGTAGCTGGGGTTGGGGCACGAGCTTGCAGCTTCGTCTGGCTTGGGGGATTAGCTGTGCATGAACTGTAGCCATAGACATCACCACTGCGCAGAATGGTCGGTTGAAAGCCATCTTCCCGCAGGCCCTGTAGGAAGGCCACAAGCTGGGCCTCAGTGGCACTGAGATCCTGGCTCATGGGGTTAAAGACATGCAGTGCCTCCTCCAAGGCCTTCTTCCCTGCCGTGGAGATCCGTGACCAGGAGTGCACAGCTTTCTCCTCCACATGCTGCACCACCACGCTCATGGCATTAGGCACTGCAGACTTCCCTGGGTATCCGCAAACCAGTGCTCAGCACCTCCAAAGCAAGAGGAAAAGAGTCGATAAGAATAACACTGAGAGGGGCTGGAGTGATAGCATAGCGGGTAGGGCATTTGCCTTGCACGCGGCCGACCCTGGTTCGATTCCCAGCATCCCATATGGTCCCCTGAGCACTGCCAGGGGTAATTCCTAAGTGCAGAGCCAGGAGTAACCCCTGTGCATGGCCAGGTGTGACCCAAAAAGCAGAATAAATAAATAAATTTTTTTTTAAAGAATAACACTGAGAGAAGGGTCAATCGAGACCTGTACTCTCCATGGTAATACACAATGACACAAAGAGAAGTGACCTGTGAAAACCACTCCCTGAGAAAAAGCCCTGGTCTCCTAACCTACTACGGAAGTGTCAAGGTGATAGTTGAAAAGAGTGCCAATCACTCTTTTTGTATAGGCCAGAGGCTGCTGCTTTTATTTGGAGTGAGGGGGTGTTTATTATGGTCACTTTGGGGTCATTATGGGCTTATTATGGTCACTTTGTTCAGGGGTCATACGATGCAGGGGATCCAACCCAGGCCGCCTGCACGCAAAGTATATTTTCCATGTGCTTAGTCCACTGAGCTGTCTTTCTGACCCCAAAGGCTGCTTCTTCAGCCTTCAGAACCATAAGCCAATCTGCTGTTGGGTTCCTAGGAATATGTCAGTCTGACAGGGTGCCTCTCATTCAATTCTGTATTTTCTTTTTGTTTATTTTTTGGGTCACACTTGGTGATGTTCAGAGGTTATTCCTGCTTTGCACTCAGGAATCACTCCTGGCAGTGCTTGAGGAACCACATGGGATGCCAGTGATTGAACTTGGGTGGGTCACGTGCAAGGCAAGTACCCTGCTTATGCTCTCTGGCCCCACAATTCTGTATTTTCTGAGGCCAAAAACCTAGAATTAGATTTAGTCCTGGCAACACAGGCCTCATACAGACCTATATAGAAGGCAAGATGGAGATATCATCAAAGTCCTTGCATCAAATTCAACCAAAGGACCTGGGAAGATTCTTGGGAGAGATAACACCTACTTGGGACAAAGACCAGATAAAATGGAAGCAGAAAAATGAAATAGCCCATGTAATGATTCCCAAGTGAGCTTGAGACATACTTGTTGAGACTGAAGTTTGGGGCCAAGGCTGGGAGACAGAATTGGAAAAACAGGTTGAAAGCAAGGCAACAAAAACCTTGAATGCTGGTGGAGAACCCAGACTTCCACCCTAATGCTTAAGCCATCTCTTCTTCCATTTCCCACGCCCAGGGATTATTATCAAGTCCACCAGAAATTCTGCTTTCAGAGGCCACCTGATGTCCAATTTCTAGCACTAGTCAAGGGACACAACCCTCAGGGAAAAAGCCAGACTGTCCTTCAACATAAACTAAAAGATGTTGAGTAGCAGACACTAATGACCCATCTCCAGGTAACCAGTCTGCGGGCATGTATCCAGACCAAGAGCCCAGGGTATCATAGTGAGGAGATTAAAAAAAAAAAAGGCTCCAAGTAGAAGGGTTAATAAGCTAGATGTTAGAAATCTGAGCTGTCCTAACTCGGGGTTGGTGGGCCACAGACCTGGTATAGCCCAGATAGCGTAAGAATATCCTAACTGTTCCAGGCTTTTCTGGAGAAGCTGTGGCCCTCAATCAAGACTGAAATATTAATTCCCCACCCAGCAGAAGGTCCCCAGAGGCAGCTCCCCAGCTGCACTGGGGCATTAAGAGATCAACTGGGATTAGGTACGTCCCGGGGGCAAGGAGGCTCCTTTGTACAGTTTCTTCCACAGCCCTAAAGGAGCAAAGGAAGTTTTCGGAATCCCCAGGAGGAAGTGCTCTGGGGCTCTTTGTTTGGAAACATTCTTGGATCATCAGGTGTGTCAGGCACTTTCCCTCCTGAGGCCACTCCAAGTGCACAATCCTTGCACTTCACTTTCCTTCTTTAGATTTTCCTCATCCCGCCGGGGGGCTGTGTGGTTCCCAGGGCTGAGGAAGCGGAGCACAGGGAGGGGCCTATTTCTCCCCAGGCACAAATATTAGGGGTGAACTGGGGATTCTTCCACCCAGGTCTGAGCCCTGAGGAGGGTCTTCTGCGCTCTCCCACGGGCTCCGGAAACAGGCTGCTGCTCGGCCGCCAACTTCCCCAAACAAGTACTCCCGGGGGCCGTCAAGTTGATCCGAGAGGCGACCGGAAAGGCCCCATCTAGACGAACTCGGGGCGGGGCAGATCAGGACTTTGGGGTTGGGACAAGCGTCCCTGGACTCCGAGCAGCGGGCGTGAGCGGGGGTACTGGAGGCGTGAAAGGCGCGGGGCGGGTGGTGCAAGCCCGGCGGGGTCGCGCTGCCCGAGGGTGGGGTCTCCGGGTACAGGATGGGGGTGGGGCGGGGGTCTCGGCCGGGCCGGCGGAAGGCGGGGCCCGGGAAGAGCGGCTGCGAGCTCGGCCCATCCACCCTGCCGCTTCTCAGACAGCCCCTCCACGGCGCGGCTAGGCCCAAGGCTCCAACCTACCGGCGCCGCCGCGGGGACCCAGGACGCGCCTCTGCGCCGCCTCCGCTGCTCCAACATGGCCGCCTGCTGCGCACCGGAAGTGCGCTGCGCTTCCGCTTCCGGGATCTGCTTCGTCCTAATGACCCTTGACCTCTGAAGACCCCCCCCCATCCCATTCCCCACCGGTCTGGGGTCGAGCAGGTGGGTGCCATGGGAGGTCTTCCTGGAGGTGGTGGCCATTGGATGACTCTGAATCCTTCCCGTCTATGCTGGAGGAAGAGAGGTGCTCTCGGGTCATTCCCAGGCAGACAGAAGACTGAACCAGAGTTTGGCTAGGAATAGGTTAGGGGCCCAGCTGACACCCTAATTGAGAGATTTGGTAGTACAGGACATTTGGGAGGAGCTCCTAAAGGAGTCCCTGTAAGGGCCAAGCCATCCACCATCCTCTGTCATTCCTGCAGCCACTGAGAAGGCTTGCTTCTATCCCTTGTACTAAACTAGAGGGCAAACTAGGAGTGTCCAAGCTCAGGTTTTGCAAAGGGAGCCTCCTTTGTAGAAGGGGACCTCTACTGTGGACAATCTCTCCCTGAGATTGGGACCCACTGCATGAAAGGTTGGTATATATATGCTACACCTAAGTCAAAAGTTGAACATATTCAATCTTAGAGTCCCAGCAAATTAGTGTACAACCAAATATACTTGTCCAGGAAAAGTTTGTTATGGTGGGAGGACCGCACACTAACCTCTATCCCTCAGTGGCAGGAAGTCCTTTCTCCAGTCTTAACTCTGTTCAGAATTCCTGCACTTTCTCTCGGGAGATTTTAGCCTCAGTCTTTCTACCTGTGCCCTGAAGAAAGCAAAGGAGTCCCAGGTATAGGGTCAGCTGCCCAATCACCACCAGATGATGGGAAGACACCAGTCAAAATAACAAGAGGGGCACATGTGCTGTCTGAGCCCATGTGCTGCCTCTGCCCATGTGTTGCTGCTGAGCACATTTGGTGTCCAAGTGCATGTGGTACCTGAACATATGTTGCCTGCATCTCCCCTCTTGAAATGTGTATTGTTATACCTTCATACTTTAATTCTGGGATATGCATTGGGGCTCGCTGTCTCGCCACAAGAGAAACCCATGTTCTCTCTTGAGCGTGTTCTCCTCTCTCTCTTCCCTTAGAACTTCCAAATATGTAAAAAAACAAACAAACAAAAAAAAACCTAGAGAAGTCAGAATAGTCTCCACAGCTCTGACTAAAGGCTCTTAAATCCAGGCTGAGAATTCTGGGCTAATTTCATGAATGGAATCGTAGGGGCATTTGCACTCGGGTCAAAGACTACTGCCACAACTCTTGAATGCTGACACATCCAGTGGTGCCAAGTGTGGTAGCTGGGGACAGGTGAGAGTCCATGGCCAGTCACAGGAGGGTGGTTAGGTGATTTATCCCATGGACTCTCTGACTCTTCTGGGCTTATAAAGTGGGGTCTGGAGACTCCCATGGAAGATAATATCCACTCCACCCTAACCTTATTCTCACCTACTCTTACCTGGTGCTCCTGAGCTTTCCAGGGATTGAGTCTTGATGGAGTATTCAGTGCCTTCAAACATAGCCTATCTAGGGGGCTGGAGCAATACAGCGGGTAGTACTATTTGCCTTGCGTGGGGCCAGCCTGGAATCAATCCCTGCAATCCCATATGATCTCCCAAGCAATGCCAGGAGTAATTCCTGAGTGCAGAACCAGGAGTAAGCCCTGAACATTGCTGGGTGTGACCCAAAAAGCCAAAAAAAAAAAAAGAGAGACCCCAAACCACAAACATAGCCTATTAGCAGAAAAAAAAGTAATTCTCCTACTCTTCTGGGATCAGTGCTTCTAGTCCCTTGTCCAGATAGAGATAAGAGGGTGGGGATCCCAGGGTGGAGTCCCAGCAGTGAACTCTAAAAGTACCACCTTGGCATTTAATGCTCCCAGTCCCCAACTGTATCACTATAGTTATAGCACAACTGCATAAAGTGCAGGATTTTAGGTGCTTGTCTTGCATGCAGCTGACCCTGGTTCTATCCCTAGCGACACATATGGTCCACTGAGCATCACTAGAGGTCACTCTTGAGCAGAAGCAAACCCGAGCATTTCCAGGTATGCCCCCAAAATATCAACAACAACAAAAAAATAGATTTCAGTTTAGACAAAGAACCCATAGGAATTTCCTAGTCTTAGCTCGTGGTATTCCGTGGTGACTTGGGGGAGTGAGGTAGCAAACCAAACTGCAGAGATCGAGGCAGTTGAGCCTGTGAGAGCAGATGGTTTCAAGAGCTTGGCAAGAGAGGAAAGAGGAGACTGAAGAAATTTGGAGTCCTGGAAGGTATCTAAAGGGAGATTGTAAAGAGAGGGGAGGGAGCTTGGAAAGGGAATACTGAGGAAGGTAAGGGGTAGGGTCCTGCAGATCTGTGTGAACACTCCACGAGGGATGGTACCAGTGTCCAAAGTAAGAAGCAAGTCAGAGGCAGAGTGGCAAGAGAGGGTGGAAGCCTTCTGGCTAGTATCTGCAACTGGCCTTCACATCAATGTTTCCATGCAGATCAATTAATTCCAATCACCAGTCCCTGCAAGGGACTGCGTTTTTCTGATTTTGCCAGAAATTTCTGTTGGCCTTCCAGGGACCCCATCAATCAGGCTAGGGGATTAATGGCCCCAGGCAGCTCTCAGCCCATGCCGGATGGAAATTTGAGTACTCCAGCAATCCTTGCTGGGTTGGGGCCAGGACTCTATGAGACCCATGGCCTACACTGCTCCCCACAGTTTCCCAGCAGCATTGGATCCCTGTTGTCCTCAGTGGTAACGCTTGATGACAACCCCCCATGATTGACTGCTTTCCCTGTTTCCTGGCCACTTCTTCACTGGTGCTTCTGCCCTTTTGCCAACTTGGTTCTTTGTCTTCTGGTGAGCTGCCTTGGAGGTCTTAGGGCCTCTGGCTCTCTATGCTCATCCCCTGTTCAGAGAAAACCCACTCTCCTCACCCTCCTACTCCCACCCAAACACAAACAAAAATAAAACTCCCCACCCTGTGGGAAGGCCTGCGGTGTGCTGAGATTGCCTCTGCCTGTTCTTCCGCTTCTTCCTAGCCTCGGGGTGCACCGTGGGTCCCGTTCTGCACTGTGCTGCGAGTCTGGGGCAGCGCAACTCAGCCCACGGGCCCTAATCGAGGCTCGAGCCACGCCCCAAGTGGCCTCCAGGGGGCGCCGCTGCGAAGCCCGTGGTCGGACTCCCGAGAGCTCGCTAGTCGATGGGCGGGCGCCCGCGCCTTTGTGCCCCCTGGTTCTGCGGGTTCGCCCCACCTCCCGGTGCTCGCGGCTGGCTTCTGCCCAGAGCAGCCCTGCATCACACGTGTGCCGCTCACCGCCGCCTCATGTCTCCCCCTGCCCGAGGTCCGACCCCCCAGTCCCAGGCAGGCCCAGTGTCCACAAGTCCACCTGCCCGGCTCCCCGGCTTGCTTGTGACGGTGGGTCTCCTCGTCCTGCTCCGGCCACGGCAGGTGCAGGGTTAAAGCCAGGAGAGGTTTTCCCGAGTCGGGGAGGGGGGTGGGGAGTAGGGGCGGACCCCGTCCAGCCCCGCCCCGCGCCGGAGCCAAGCGGGAGCCCCGCCGGAGCCCGGCCGCAGCCCCAGCCACAGCCCGCACCCGCAGCGCCGAACGGCGGACCCCACGCCCCGGAGGCGCCCGAGCCCGGGCCGGTGAGTCCCACGGGGGCCGCGCCCAGGGCAAGTGGGGGGCGCGGGGTGTTGAATCCTAGGTGCTCCCGCTCGGACCCGCCCCCCCTCCCAGAGCTGGAAGTTTGGGGCTGGGAGGCCCCGGCACCGGGGGTCACTGGAGTGTGGTTAAGGGAAAACAGAGGCTGGGTAACTTAGGGATCTGCTGGGAAGGAACCCCAGAGTCCAGCTGCCCATTCCTGCTGGAAACGCCCTGGGTTCTGGGACCCGAGTGTCCAGTGCTCATGGATCCCCAAATCCACCTCTCCCCTCTTCTGGACACTAGAAAGGCTGGCCTCGGGAATCTAGCATGGGCAAATCGAGGATAGCCCTTACGGGGAAATGTGGGACCCCCAACATCTGCTGCTCCCTTTCCAATTCCAAACGTTTCTCCATCCCCCGGGTTTCAGCCTCATGCTGGTGGGGATGGATAGACTGTGGGGTGGGCCCCAGAGGATGGGGAGGATGCCCTGGAATTTGATCCCTGACAGCAGGTGTCAGACCCTGATGACTGCACAGGCTCCCTGGAAGCTAGCCAGGGGGGAGGGAACAGTGCTGGTGCAGACCCCCAGGGTGAAACTGTTGAGGGAAACCGGGCTAGTGTGGCGTCATCTTCTTACCTCCCACCTTGACCCAGATCTGACTGGGTAGCCCCTAGGTAAGGGCAGGGGATAGGAGGACCCCTACTGTTCCCTGCGAAGGTGGGGGGAAGTTGTCTGGTATCTGGAGTCCAGTGTTCTGGCCAGCAGGGCTGGTGCTCCTCCTGCCTGGGCAGTGGCGCTGACCTGTATTCCTTCTTTCCTCCAGGTGAAAGCAAGGTGTCTGGACCCGGCAGACTCCCCTTGTAGTCCTACCACCTTGCAGAGTGGAGGTGAGGCCGCATCATGGCCTTCACTAGGCCTGCGGCATGACCAGATAGCATGGCCTGCCACTGGAGGTGAACACCATGGCCACGGGAGGTGGCCGGGCCTTTGCCTGGCAGGTATTCCCACCCATGCCCACCTGCCGAGTGTATGGCACCGTGGCATACCAGGATGGGCACCTGCTTGTGTTGGGGGGCTGTGGCCGTGCTGGATTGCCACTGGACACTGCTGAGACACTGGACATGGCTTCCCATACATGGCTGGCACTGGCCCCTCTACCCACGGCCCGGGCTGGTGCAGCTGCTGTGGTGTTGGGCAAGCAGGTGCTAGTGGTGGGCGGCGTGGATGAGGGCCAGAGCCCCGTAGCTGCTGTGGAGGCCTTCCTGGCTGACGAGGGCCGCTGGGAGCGCCGTGCCACCCTCCCTCAGGCAGCCATGGGGGTCGCGACTGTGGAGAGAGGTGAGTGGACTTGCAAGGAAGGACCCTCCAGTGCCCCAGGGGACCCTTTCTCTTTGAGATTGGATAGAGCTATAATTTGTGCCTGGGTTCCCTGCACATGACTTTCTTCTGTGTCCTGCCCTGCCTAGCTCTGAGCTGGGCTTTTTTTCTTTTCTTTTTTTTTTTCTTCTTTTTTTGTTTTTGTTTTTTTTTTGGGGGCCATATCCAGTGGTGCTCAGGGCTAACTCACGGCTCTGCTCTCAGGAATTATTCCTGGCATGGAGCTTGGAGGACTAAATGGGATGCTAGAGATTGAACCTGGGGTGACCGTATACAAGCCTTTCTGCTGTACTATGATTCTGGCCCCTGTGCTGGGCTTTTAGCAGCCTTAACTGCCTTTTCCAACTGGAAGGTGGGAGGCAGAGCCTAGATGGGGCTCTAGGCTGGCACCTCCTTGCCCCAGTCCCCCTCTCTGAGACAGGGAGGGGTGTCCAATGACTCCCACAGTTATAAATAGTCCGGGGGAGGGGGAGTGGAGCAGAGCCTTGGCTCAGAGCCCAGCAAGTGCTTAGATTCTCCCCTCCCCATACACACACATACACACCAGGGAGCCTGAGGTGGACAAAGGCCATGGTGGCCCAGGGACAGTTGCCATGGAAGCCTCCAGACTCCAGATGAGTCTGACTGACCTCCCAGCTGACCCTGAGGGTGTAACAGGGCAAGACCCTCCTCTTGTGAAAGGGTGGGTTTGCTCATTTATGGAAGCCTTGTGGCTAACGCCTCTATCCTTCAAGCCCAAACCCCTCTCCCAGCACCCCCCACGCCCCCCACCCCCCCGCCACTTATATCCAGATTGCCCCTTCCCCTGTCTGAGCCCCAAGCCCAGAAGATTCCTACATGCCCACAGCCTTGGTTTAAACCCTCTCTCCCTCCCTTCCTTCAGAGGACCCCCCTCCTCACCTTATGGCCTCAAGGTCTGACCACCAGTCCTGTTTGGATGTCAGGCTTGGTTGCCATAGCGTCTCCAGGGAGACCAAGATGGATTATAATTAGATCAGCTGCCTCCTGCTCTTCACTTGGAGGGTCTTGGTCAGAGTGGGAGCCCTACTCTTCCAGCCCCCACTCCAGGCTCGCAGCAGGGTTTCTGCTGCTGGAGAAAGACATCATAAACACATACGCCACCCCCTACCTTCTCCCGGAACAACTAAACCTTATCAGGGGCTCTCAGGGTGGGGTGCGCTGGCCAGGCTAGGGGCCAGTCTGAACCACTCTTTTCTCTGCAGATGGTATGGTGTATGCTCTGGGGGGAATGGGTCCCGACACGGCTCCCCAGGCCCAGGTCCGGGTCTATGAACCCCGTCGGGACTGCTGGCTCTCCCTACCCTCCATGCCCACGCCCTGCTACGGGGCCTCTACCTTCCTGCACGGGAACAAGATCTATGTCCTAGGTAAGAGCCTGAGGATGAGGGGAAGGGTGCAGCACGCTTATTCCTTTCACGTAGCTGACTGGAATCAGTCGGTGGTCTTGAATGAAAATAGTTGTGAGCCAGGCCTGCTGAGGCTCTGGTCTCCTATGGCCTGCAGGGACTGGGAGATCAGCCCCTTGTACCTGAGGGTCTGTGAGTGAGCAGTCTGCCAGAAGGTCTAGTGGAGGGGGTAGGAGAGCTGGGTCCGGTGATGGAGGAGGAGGAGCCTGCCAGGCTATTGGGCTCCCCCCAGGTGCCTGATTCCATTGGCAGGGGGCCGCCAAGGCAAGCTCCCAGTGACTGCTTTTGAGGCCTTTGATCTGGAGGCCCGGACCTGGACCAGACACCCAAGCCTGCCCAGCCGCCGGGCCTTTGCTGGCTGTGCCATGGCCGAAGGCAGCGTCTTTAGCCTGGGTGGCCTGCAGCAGCCTGGGCCCCACAATTTCTACTCCCGCCCACACTTTGTCAACACTGTGGAGATGTTCGACCTGGAGCACGGTAAGCAGGGGCTGCCGTGGGCTGTTCTCTGGCTCTCAGAGGGATGGAGGGGTGCGGTATGAGTGTGGCTAGGTCTGACCTCCAGTTTCTTGCAGGGTCCTGGACCAGACTGCCCCGCAGCCTGCGTATGAAGGATAAGAGGGCCGACTTTGTGGTTGGTTCTCTTGGAGGCCACATCGTGGCCATAGGGGGCCTTGGTGAGTCTGGAGGTTGGGGGGGTTCCCCTTCTGTCATCATCCAAGGGACAGGGATTTGTTTTGTTTTGGTTCGGTTTTTTGGGTCTTACTCAGTGATGTTCATGGACCTAAACAGGCATCTGCTTAGGGATCATGCTTGGCAGGGCCCCAGGGAACCATATTGGATGTGGGGGATCGAACCTAGTCAGTCATGTATAAGGCTAGTACCCTACCCACTGTACTCTTGCTCTGGTCCCTGGAATGCAGGGCTTTGTGAGCACCCCTTACCCAATGTGGATGGGCAGGGTGTGGTTTGTGTTGTGTGGGCCAACTTTTGGGGAGGGGTTCCTCTCAGCACCTGACTGAGGTCTCTATCAGCACAGGTGTAGCACAAAGCATCCGGGCAAATGGTGGCTGAATGAATGATAATTGTCAGTGGACAAATAATCCACTGGTGAATGGACAGAGAGGGGAATAAGGCACTGATTTCAAATCCGTCCTAGGTTGATGCCTGGGCTCAGGGAGCAAAAGACTTCGAGCCCTGGTGCCTTCTCTAACCTCTATCTCATTTCTGCAGGAAACCAACCATGCCCTCTGGGCTCTGTGGAGGGTTTCAGCCTTGCCCGGCGGCGCTGGGAGGCACTACCTGCCATACCCACGGCACGCTGCTCCTGTTCAAGTCTGCAAGCTGGGCCACGGCTGTTTGTTATCGGGGGTGTGGCCCAGGGTCCCAGCCAAGCCGTGGAAGCACTGTGTCTTCGTGATGGAGTCTGAATGCCTGTCTGCTGGAGCAGTTCGGTACCACGGGCAGATGTCTTTAGCTGCTCCTACTGCTAAGGAAGCTCACTGTGGCTCTGGGATGGGATATGGGAGGTACAAGGGGGGGCACTGAAGAACCACCTCGGGGACCTGGGGGGCCCTTCGTCTTTAGCACAAGACACACATATGCTTACACCCACCTTTACCACCATTCATTCATGACCATTCCTGGCTCCGCCCTTGCTATGGAACCTGCTGAGCCCTCTGTCCAGTTGGGAAGTAGGCTGACCTCCTGCCTCATGTGATCTCTTTTTCTGCCTGGAGTTGAACAGGACAAGGCCCACCTGTGGGGATTCCTAGAGCATCTAGAGTCCCCTCGGGACTCAGAAGCATTCAAAGAGAGTGGAGGACACAAAGGGACTAAAGAAGTGGATGCAGGAACTTCCAAAAGGCCATGTTAGCTTTGGGCCCTGTGAACTTCTGGCTGTGACCTTGGGCAAGTCATTTCACCTCTCTGTGCCTCAGCATCCTCATCTGTAAATGGGGATCTCTGAAACCTTATGGCCCTACCTACCTCACAGGGCTGTTGTGAGGACCCAGGGAGTTCAGATGTGGAAGTAAAGTGCTGCTAATATCTGCTGTGTTGCCCCTGATGTAGATACTGTGTTGCTCCTGCAGCCCCTTGAGTCTCTCAGAGACACAGTCCACAAGGAGCCTCTTGGCTGTGACTCCTGACCTAGGGGTCACAGCTGCTCATGTGGTGCCATCAGATGACCACTTTGCCCTACTGTCCTGGTGTTACAGACCTCACAGGGATGACTAGAGAAGTGCTCAGAAAGTGACCTCAAACATCATGGGTAGGATGCCTTCAGCTTGTCAAAGAGAGAGTAGCCTCTGGCAGGGGTGCCCTAGACCTGACTGTTGGAAAGGTACCTCTTGGGTTGGGCTGTGTGGCCACTCAGTGCAGGGACTCACAACTGGGCATGCTTCAGGAAGGAAGTTCGGGGGTCTTTGAAGCCCTGGTAACACTTCTGGACACTTAGCTTTCTGCCCACCTGCTCCCTTCTCAATGAGAAGGCTGCCAAGCACTTAGCGCCGGGGAACAAGCAACATGAGAGCCAGGTGTAGTACAGGCCAGTGCCCGCTGCTCTCCAATCTCTCAGCTCCCCTAGGCTGCAAGTACAGACGGACCTCCATGCCAGTCATTCTTTAATGGACCAGTTGAGGCACTCAGAGACCCCGTTATGAAGATAGTGCTGCAGCGGCCTAGGCCTCAGGAGCTCCGGGAGGTCAGGCAGTGGTACTGGGGAGACTAGGGTCTTGGGCTGTACTGTGTCGATTCCACAGTGACCGTCTCGTAAGGGTTGGCAGAAGTTCTGCTGGTATGTGGTGTTGACAGTGGGTGGCTGGAGCTGTACAAAGTGAACAAGGCGCTGGGGGAGGTCATTGAATCCTGGTTCTTTCTGGAAACTGGTCCGGTAGGAGGTCATGTGGGGCGCTTGTTGACTTAACTCCAGCTCACACGGTGCCCAGCGCAGGAAGGTGTGCTGCTGCCACAGATGCTGTAGGTCTTTCCGCCTCCCGATCCCCTGCAGCAGCCAGTAGGGCCCCTTCACAAAGGACTCACAGTCAGCAGCAGTTTGGGCACGAGGTTCTTCTGTGAGTCTCTCCTAAACCTAAGCCTGGCCTGGACCTCAACCTCTTTGGCCTGCCCCCTTCCCCATGAAGACCCCAGAAAGCTAGTGACCCCGGGGGAATGCATATTGTCCAGTGTCAGGTAGATCCCAGAGCAGAGTCCCCCTCTGTTCAGGGATGGGCCATGCCCCAGATGACAGAAACTGTCTAGGAGACAGTTAGTCCTCTGTGTCAGGCTGTCTCCCTCTTTGAGATGTCATCCCTGCCACCCTACTTCAACTTTACCCTGGCTGAGAGTCTTCATTTCTGCAACACTCACTTTGTCATAGGAAGTGCGGTTGTCATGCTTGGAGAAGTAGTGTTGCTTTACTGGCACCTTGAAAGATAGTGAGAAAGATAGTGAATGGGTGGAAATAATGCTTACCTATACTTATTTGATATTACCTTAGAGTCCATGATACAGGGAAGCTTCCAGAAGCTACCAGTCCTAACTTACCAAACTACCAACACCCTGAAAAATAGATGTAAATGAAATCAACACCTTACTCCTGGGACAGCTCATTCTGGCATTTGACCCCAAAGCAGAAGCAGCAATAAACTACTGATTGAGGAAGAGGCTGAAGCATCTTCTAGAGAGAGGAAGTGATTCCTCTTTCACTCTGGGTCTTTTAACTCCTGATCACTCAGGACAAGGCTTTAACTACCTCCTCCCCTACAGTTTGCTCTTACCTCCTCAGACACAACCCACCAGGCTCCTGGCTCTCAAAACCACCTAGAAACAGAAATTTCTCTTTGCTTTGAGTTTTCTTCTAAGTCTCCACTGCCTGCTCTATCTCTCCATGTAAATGCTTAATGGGAATTTCTAAGCACATGGCAGAGCTCTGGATCATTCCCCAGACCCGACCCACATACTGCCTTCTCCCAGTTTAGGTCTTGGCAGCTAGTGCCTCCAAGCACCTCAAAATGCCCTTGGTTCTTTTCTTTCTCATGCTATATCCAACGTGCCAGGAAATCCTGTTGATACCTCCTTCCTTCCTTCCTTCCTTCCTTCCTTCCTTCCTTCCTTCCTTCCTTTCTTCCTTCCTTCCTTTCTTTCTTTCTTTCTTTCTTTCTCTCTCTCTCTCTCTCTCTCTCTCTCTCTCTCTCTCTCTCTTTTTCTCCCCCTCCCTTTTTTTTTCCCTTTGTGGGGCCTCACCAGGCAGTGTTCAGGGCTTATTCCTGGCTCTGTGCTCAGGAATCAGAGATCACTCTAGGCAGGTTCAGAAATCACACCTGGGTTGGCCAGGTGCAAGGCAAGTGCCCTTCCCACTTTACGATCACTTCAGCCCTCTGATACCTCCTTTAATATGTGCTCAAGCTGGGATCATTACTCCGCCTCACCTTTTTTTTTTGGTCACACCCGGTAATACTCAGGAGTTACTCCTGGCTCTGCAATTCAGGAATTACTCCTGACGGTGCTGGGGACCATATCGGATGCAGGGGATTGAACCCAGGTTGGCTGTGTGGAAGGCAAATGCCTTTGCTATGCTATCCCTCCAGCCCCTCTGCCTCATTTCTGTGTTTTGTTTTGTTTTTGTTAAGAAAAAATTGTAAAAGTCAAAATCTTTGTGGTGGGTCATGACACTCAAGTGACATTGAATACACTTATTACCTCCAGCCATACTTGCCTCCTTTCCACCTCAAATATGCACACCTGGCTTTTGCGCCCTTTCTTTTCGCTTGGGAGCCCTTTCCAAGCTGGCCATGACTCCTCATTTCCTGAGTACTACACTAGTCATTCCTGGACTCCAACTCTTCATTTTCTCTCATCTGATACAGGATTAATCACTGTTACAGCTCATTATATGTCCCTAACTAAAACATAAGCTTGTTATAAATAAAGATCATTGTCTTGCCCACATCTGTAACTTCAGCACTGAGAAGCGTGCCTCTGTGTTCTATATACGTTTGCTGCAAAATCAGTGGAAAGGGACAGAAGGTCTCAGGGCATTTTCTTTGGCCCATTTGGGGCCAAGGAGCCATACACCCACTCCATTCCCCCAAGTAAAGAGGCAACTGCTGGGATGATGTACAGTGGGTAAGGTATTTGCCTTGCATGCAGCAAACTGGGATCAGTCCCCAGATTCCCATATGGTTCTCTGACCACTGCCAGGATTAATTCATGAGTGCAGAACCAGGAATAACCCCTGAGCATTGCCATGTGTTGTCCAAAAGCAAAAAAACAAAAACGAAACCCCCAAAATGCTATAGTGACACCCTTTCTCAGACCTCTGGACCTCAGCAGAGATCTCTCACGAGACCATCTTATCCAGCCTCTGTGCTTGGTGTCTGGCCACAGATTCCCTTTTCCCCAGCCACTCATTTTTTTCAACTTCTGCAAACTGAAACAAAGTTCCTGATGAGTTCAGGTTTGGTTGGATTGGGGCTAGGGGTAGTAACTGACAGCAAGTTCCCAGATAACAGTCAGGGGCTAAGCTCTACCCCTGATTCCTGAAGCAGAATTTCAGGGTTGAATCAGTAATAGTGTGTTTTTTTAAAACATGCTCCCTTTTGCTTCTCTTGCCTAAGACAGCTTGAGGTAATATCCAATGGAATGAAAGTTTCACCAGGTTGGGAAGCTACCTTGGCCTTACCTTTCATTCCTCATACAGCAAGCTGAAATGACAGATTGAAAACCTAGAGCCCTTTTAGAAAAAAAAAAAAAACAGGAGAAAATCTTCTTACTTTCAATTGCCAGCCAGTGCAATTGCTGGTAGTTACATGTCTAGTTTTTAAAAGAAACTGTGAAACTGTTTTCCAGAGTGTTGGTACTATTTTGCATACACCAGGAATATATGAATGATCCAGTTTCTCTGCACATCAACATTTGAGCTAGGCAGAGAGTTGTAGTCTTGACACCAAAGGCAAGAAAACATAAATCAAATCTTTTCTTGAGTTTTGTTTTGGTTTTGGGCCACATCCGGTGATGCTCAGGCTTGCTCCTGGCTCTGTGCTCAGTGATTGCTCCTGGTAGTGCTCAGGAACCCGTATTAGGTTCTGGGGATTGTACTTGGGTTGGATGTGTGCAAGACAAATGCTCTACTCACTGGACTATCTCTCCGGCCTGATAAATCTTATTCAAAAACTTTAAATGTGAAGAGGAAGAAAGAAGAGTGACAGACTGGAAAAGAATATTTGCAAACTGTATATCCATTAAGGAGTTAGTATCTTGAGTGTTAAAAGGATGTTCACCACTCAAAACTAAAATACCAATCCAATTAAAAAATGGGCTAAAGATCTAGAGACATTTCATCAGAGAGCATATACAGATGACAACCCATGAGAAATTAACTAACATCATTAAGCATAAGGAAAATGTCAATCAAAACCATCAATCAGAGCATTTAAAAAATAGAAACAAGAACAAATGTTGGTGATATGCAGAGAAACTGCCTCTGTGAAAACATAAAGTAGTACTACCACTTCGCCAAACGAGTTTAGTTTTAAAATTAGCCTAGATGGTATCCCACTGTCTTAAAATGCTTGTCTGGAAAGCAGGTTGAAGAGGCTGAGAGTTCAATCTCTAGTGCTGCTTACATGTCCCAGGGACACTGCTGTCTGGGACCCCCCAGCACTGGAATAGAGGGTACAGTATCTGTCACACAGCTAAAGTGTGCAGCCCCCAGAAAGCACAGAAACTAAAAGACATGCAGTGTAAAAGACATGGATGTAACTCATTGTGAACGTGCATATGAGTAACCATGATGACCCTCCACTGAGTTCTATAACCAGAATGTGCATGCACACCACAGCTAGACAATCTCGACCCCCAGCTAGCACATGTATAAGCACCACAACCTAAAATGTGTTGGCTTCCCTAAGCACCACTGAGCCTGAGCACTGCACTCCTTGGCCTGAGCACCAAACCATCAAGACTGAGTATTATCAGAAGTGACTCCCAGCCCTCTCACTGGAACTGCTGAAAAAAGGGCCCTAAATTTTAAAAGTGGGGCCAGAGTGATAGTACAGTGAGTAGGGCACAATAAAGGTAAAAGGTAAAGGCCCTCCCGTTGATCGTTGATTTGCTCGAGCGGGCCCAGTAACGTCTCCATTGGAGACTTTTGTTGTTACTGTGTTTGGCACAGTATGTGGCACCATATTTAGTTCCCTGAACCCTGCTGGAAGTAAGCCCTGAGCATCATTGGGTATGGCTCAAAAGCAAACAACTAAAAAGTGGGGCCAGACAAAGGTAGCTGACCTCAGTTCAATCCCCAGCATTACATGTGGTTCCCAAGTACCACCATTAATGATCCCTGGGCATAGAGCTAGGAGTAGCCCAAGTGCCACTGTGTGTGGCCCAAATCCCTTTCCCAAAAAAGTGTGTGAGGGACCAGAGTGATAGTACAGAGGGTAGGGCACTTGCCTTGCATGTGACTGACCCAGGTTTGATCCCTGGCATCCTATATGGTCCCAAGCACCACCAGGAATAATTCCTGGGTGCAGAGCCAAGAGTAATCCCCAAGCATCACTGGGTGTCACTTCAAAACAAAAAAAATTTTTTTTTGCTTTTTGCTTAGCAAATGCTTAGGGGTTATTCCTGGCTCTGCACTCAGGAATTACTCCTGGCGGTGCTTGGGGGACCATAAGGGATGCCGGGGATCGAACCCAGGTCAGCTGCGTGCAAGGCAAACGCCCCACCCACTGTGCTATCACTCCGGCCCCCTAAACAAAAATATTTTTTTTAAAAAATTATAGGGCTGGAGTGATAGTATAGCAGATAGGGCATTTTTTTTGGTACATGGCCCATGAGGGTTCAACCCTCAGCATACCATATAGTCCCCTGAAGGCCACCAAGAGTAATTCCTGAGTTTAGAGCCAGGAGTAACTCCTGAGCATTGACAAAAACAAAACAAAACAAGCAAACAAAAAAAAAAGGCCCCCCTGCTCCCTACCCCACACACATACTCCAACATACAGTGAACATCACCACCACCACAACTGCAAAACAAAAGGAAGGGAAGAAAAGAAAACAATAATAAAAAAACTAGACATACAACTATTAGCACAGCGGGTAGGGTGTTCGCCTTACAAGCAGCCAACATGGCCGACCCGAGTTCGATTCCTCCGCCCCTCTCGGAGAGCCCGGCAAGCTACCGAGAATATTCGATATGCCAGACACAGTAACAACAAAGTCTCCAATGGAGACATTACTGGGCCCGCTCGAGCAAATCGACGATCAACGGGAGGGCCTTTTACAACTATTATGATTTTGCAACTACCCTGCTGGATATTTATTCCATGGGAATGGGAACCTTCATTCACTCCAAAACATACATGTTCATAGTAGCTTTATTTATAAGAGCCAAAAGCTGGAATCGGTCCAGATATTTTAAAAAT